ATGGCCAACAGGATGAGTGGTTGTGTGGTGCTGTGCTGAAGGAATATACTCGTGTGTCCAGTATTATATTTTCCTTATAAAATAAAGGGTTTCACATAGCATGTTACAGAGTAGCAGAGATTAAAGTCTAAAGTCCATCTAATCCAGCCACTCATTTTACACTTGAATCTTTTTTAGAATGCCCCTTTTTTTTTTTTTCCTGGAGACAGGGTCTTGCTCTGTCACCCTGGCTAGAGTGCAAAGGTGTCATCATAGCTCACTGCAACCTCAAATTCCTGACCACAAGCAATCCTTCTACCTCAGCCTCCCAAGTAGCTGGGATTACAAGCATACACCCCATGCCTGGCTAGTTTTTCTATTTTTTTTTTTTTTGTAGAGATGGGTCTTTCTCTTGCTGAGGCTGATCTTGAACTCCTGGCGTCAGGCAATCCTCCTGCCTTGGCCTCCCAAAGTGCTGGGATTATAGGCATGAGCTCTAGAATGCCTATAATTATATGTAGTAACTGGGCACTTTTAAAAATTTGAGGGGAAAAAAGGCCATGTTCAGGTGCAAATACAGCCTTTCATACCTCAGTGTAAGTCCAGCTTCCCAGAAGCTGTGCATATTTCCACTGAACAATGTATTTCACTCCAGAGATGTTGGCAGATTTCCATCGTAACGTCACACTATGGCTTCCAATGGAAGAAGCGAAGGGCGCGGTGGGGACATCTGCATTTTCTGGGGAGAAAACAAGATTTGACTCACTGTGCACTCCTGTCCACCAAAGCAGGAGAGAGTGTGCCTGTTTAGGACTCTCAGCTTTCTCTTGCTACAACTGCATCTCGCCACAATAACTCACCTGTGTGATGGATGATGCACATATTCAACTGATTTAAAAATCAGTCCGGCGGGTTTTTTCCCCCCACAGAATTCACTGTTACCTTTAAACATAGTGTTTTCCTTCCTACAAGCGGATGGCACGAGGGTTCTGAGCTGTCTGGTTCAATACCACTCCCTTACATGAGGAGGGGCAGGTGCCAAGAACATGTCTGCAGCACAACAAAACCATTCATTGCCCCAGGACACGTACCCCAAGATATTTTTGAAAGTTTACACTACAATTCTGCTATAACTGCCCGTCTTGTCAACAAATTTTTGTATATATACAGAGTAATTGCTTTTATTCCAGAGGACTCCATTCGGCTGTTTTGCATTGCGAAACATTTCATGACTTACAAACATCAGAGATGTTACAATTGGCGGCACACATTAATTGGGTGCTACTTGCCAGGCACTGTACTGGGGGTGAGATTTCTGAAAAGTCTGTACCACTGGGATGAAATTATTTTACTTTACTTTTTCTATTTTGCCAAAATGGTGATGAATTTAATGCTTCAGCTTTCTTTTACAGAAAAAAAATCACCACTCTGGTTTAGAAATCATGGTAAATTTGGTAGGGAGCTTAAAATGGTTAAATATAAACTCCTAGAACTTCACTCTTTCTGGTTAAAAGAAAATGGACACAATTCTCATCAGTACAGATATTGGATATGGACTAATTAAAGTCCATACTCTGGGATCCAAAAAATTTAAACCCACTTTCATCCAAAGACCTAGCCCACAGAGAGGCCTAACATAATCCTTCTCTGCTGAATCTTCTATTGTGGTTCATTTTTGGTGATTATTAACTGTATAAGCAAAGCACAGCTCCTCATTTCCCCCTTTTATGGTGTGAGATTCTCAATAGCAGGAATTGGAATATGCTGTGGACACCCTGAAGAGGAGTCCAGTGACAGCTGTCAGCAGAGTGAGGAGCAATAACCAGGAGGCATCAGAAATGACGTAAGTTGAGAACTGGGCAGAAGTGGTCAGAGTTATATAAGTACAAGTAAGTGTAAATTTCATAGCTAAATATAGACATGTGCTTCAAAGCCATGGTGATGAATATTAAAAACACAGAGATAAAGTAGTTTTATTCTAAAATATCAAGGCAAGAGTAAGCCCAGTGAGAGAGAGAAGCTGCACTGAGCTACATGCTACTTTCAGTACATGGCAGAGTGGGCAAGAAAGGCTCTACAATCAGCTGGGTCATAATTCTCTGCATTTTTACTAGCTATGCAGCCCCAAGAAAGTATTTAAACTTCATGCCTCAATTTCTCATCTGTAAAATGAGGTTAATAATATTAATAGTATTTATACCTCTGAAAACAAAAGGAACTAATACCTATAAATCAATGAGAAAAGTGCCTCATTCTAAATGCCTAATAAAAAAGTTATATTTATTTTTAAAAATTATTAGTTATTATCATTTCTCACCACGTGGAAAGGGTCATGGAGGGTATCTAAAATCAATTAATATGGCGGACCCACAGATAAATAGACCAGGTGCCCCATGCGTTAGAGACAAACAGGGTCTCAGGTGCACGGGCAAAAAGATTCATTATAACAGACTACAGATCTGGTCTGTAAGCACACATGCCTGCATTTGGACTTGGTACATCTCATTTGTTAGTAGTACATAGGCATTGATCCATAGCCAATGAGAAATATAAAATAAAGCATTGATTCCACTTGTATTCTAACAGAATTGTAGAATTAAATTGGTAGTATAATTTTAGAATATAAGAAAAGAACGTAAATCAAAGGTTCCCAACATCTTCAGTTCTGGCGTCCTTAGTTTCTCAATATTTTTTTTCATGGTTCCTTGGCCAAAAATATTACCTAATAGTTCCATTTATTAAGGATTATAATTTAATAATTATGTATATCCTAACAAATTAGTAACTACTTGAAAAATGTGTAAATTTAAAGACAAAAATCATATATTTATTTCATTCTTAAATATGCCTACTAATTGCATAATCATGGGATTTGTGTGCCTGTTGGGCACTGCAAAACTTCTCCACTCTTCCAATGAGACTTGGCATCGTCATCCTTCTTTCTTGTTCCATGTTGAGTTTCTCGTGGTACTTGCTTGTAATCACAGCAATTACAAAAACAAAAAATAAAACGGCATTGCAAAGATATGATACCATGGAGAGAAATGTAAGTAGTGTGATCTATTGTTTACACTGTGAACTGCCTCCAACTGGTAGATCCAACCATGTCCAGTAGATATCGACTATCCCTGTGTTTCCCTGAGGCATTTAAAATACCCCATATCTCCCAGTGAGGTTGCTGTGATGCCCCGGAGAACATTGGTGCACAGTTTGGAAACCACAAAATATAAATTTTATCCATAGCTAACCCCTGCAACATAGAAGAAAAAAAGATAATGTCACTACCTCTCTACAGAAATGTCAAGGAGCATCTTTTGTGGGACACTAAAGGGCAGAAGCAAGTCAGGACAGCAAGCTGAGCTCCTCCTTCCACTTTCCATCAGCCACTGAGAGCAAGGAGCAAAGCATGGAAAGTAGGGCTACAACGAATGGAAGAGCCAAGCATCTCCCAGTCTGAAGGGAACTGTTTCTCTGTGGGAGGAGACCCTAAGGAGTTCTGGAAAAGATATCTGCTAACATCCAGGCTATGGCTTGTCTAAGCATTGGCCCTTCAGAAATCACTGGAAAACTAACACAATAGGGCAAATCCACTTAGACATGCCCAACCTACTCTGAAATTAGGCAGAGGGAGCTGACGTACACCAAGGTCCTCTACGTACTCAAAATCTAACACTGAGAAGCATAGCTTCTCTACATTTAACCAATTTCTAGAGCATTTGGCAGGGGGCATGCACATAGCAGGCACTCTATTGAATAACTGTTAGCTGAGTAACGAAATGCACATTAAGTAAAATATTCCTATACTTTCAGCTCATTGAAACAATGGCATTCCCTGACACCGTCTGCTCAGGAAGTACATTTGTCTCTCATTAAATTAGAAGTAATTGCAGCTACTGAACTTGAGGACAAAATCTGGTCCTAAACATCAGACATGTCCCACATTTTCTCACTTTTAATCTGAAAGAGGAGTCATGCTTAGTCTTTTTCAGAATTGTCTCCACATTTGAAAT